ATTTTTATTTAATTAAATAATCTCTGAATGGAAAAGAATAATGAATATTGTAAAATTACGATCAGATTCGTGTTTAGCGTACTTTTTTTCAAGATACATAAAATTGTTCTGATAATTTTTTGTGCAAAAAATACTTAACTTTCTGAATAAACTACTGTTATAATAAAAATATATAATAAAAATTATCAATTTTAAGTTAATTTGTTTAAATAATAAAATTTGTTTTTAATGTTTAAACCCTTTCTCTCAGTTTCTCAGGTCTGCAAAAAATCATGAATAATATTGATAATATAATAAAACTTTCCTGCAATTTTTAGCTATTTTTAAATACTTAGCTGTATAAAGTTTAAGGAACAGCCTGAGAGTACAAGTTTCTAGTTAGTATATATGTTACCGGCAAAGTATGTAATCAGGCATTTTATAAAATACCTAGGCAGTATATAAAATGCCTGTCTGTCTCAGGCAATGTGTATAAAAAAAAGATTTTCTATACATTGCCTAGGCATTATATAAAATGCCCACTAGACTTTAGGCAAAGTATAAAATTTAGTTTTATTTCAAATAATATACATTTTTCTGTTATAAAAATATTAACTTTCTTTTGTAATTTATTTGTTACAACACGGCATACTTGAATGACATTTCGACTGACACTGGACCTTATTTTTTATGCATAAATATTTGTTGCTTTGACAGTTTTTTACAAGAACATTTTACAAAACCTTGGCCTGTTCCTTTTTCTCGGTAGCTTTAACATTATTAACATCACTTATCAACTGCTTATACCGTTCGTCTGATAAAAATATACTGTTTTTTGCCATTGCATTTTTAATTTTAGAAAATTCGGAAAAAATCTATCCCTTGTCACTGAAACATTTCCTATTTCTGCACTCATTTTAAGTTCAAATTTATGTTTCTGCGACTGATTACCTCAAAATGTGAGAATTGACTGACAAAATTTGTATTTTCTGTTAATTAAGTATTATTCTTAAGAGTTAGAAATATTGAACTTCATTGTATAAAATTACTCACTGCTAACATGCAGCTATGTAAACATAGCTAAAATACTTATTGTTATATACTTATTATTTTCTATTTGTAATAGAAAAATCGTGGAAAGTGTTTATAGAAAAAGGTAGACGTTTCAAGCTGCTGAGACTATTATATACTTTACCTTATGCTCGATGGGCATTTTATAAAATACCTAGGAATTTTATAAAATGCCTAGGCAATATATGAAAAAATAATTTAATTATATACATTGCCTGAAATGGACAGGCTTTTTATATACTGCCTAGGCATTTTATAAAATGCCTGGATTTCATACTTTGCCGGTAACATATATATTGTATTTAAATAAAGGTGAAAAGCATAGGGATCTACGTCGGACGAAGTCCCAGATGTCGGAAGGAGGGAAAGCTTAAGTTTTACAGCATAATATATAAATGTAATTTATAAGGTAATTCATTTTAAGCTGAACCACTGAGCCATTTATGGTAAAAAGTTGAAAGTTGTTGCTATTACTGTTCAAAAATTGTTGTACAGGGTTGCCACAAAAATTAAATTTTGTTTTTCTCAGACTTTTCCCTGATTTCCAGACAAAATTTTCACTTTTTTCCTAACCCCAAAGAATAATCTGATTCACTTTAAAAATGATTAGATACTCAAAAAAATTTTCTACTACAATTATTTACCAATTTGTTTAATTGGAAAACTAGCAACAATTCGCGCCCTAAAGCGGGCGGCTAACTTCTTACTGCCCCTTTTAAATAAAATTAACAATTTTAAAAATAAGAGAATTTAAAAATTTTCTAATTTAAATTTTTGTTGAAAACACTAAAAAAATTCAATTTTGGAGAAAATACAAATAATTGCAGAAATTCAAATATTAAAAAAAAAAGAAAATTCTTCTTACAAAATTCAAATATGTTCAAAACTTGAAACAAATTCTCGTAAAAATCCCAATTATCTTTATAAATAACAAAATTCTTTTCCAAAGTTCAATTATTTTCAATATAATATACTATTTTAATAAAATTTCTCAAAAATAATTCAATTATTTAAAAAAAAATTTAATAGAATTGTATGCAAACATTTAAATATTTTCATAAATATTAAAAATTTCACAGGAATTCAATTATTATTTTTATAAATAATAAAATTTTTTTAAGGAATTCAATTATTTTCATAAAAAATAATTTTTAATTCTAGAAAATAATAATTGAATTGAAATGATGAAAATAATTTTGATGAAGTTATAGTAACAATATTCTTATAATATAAAATAATGATTTTATTACTTGGTCATCTTTAATTATTATAAAACATGAAGAAATCGATCACTCCGAGTCTTCGACTCGGGGCAATCGATATCTTCATGTATTATAACAAATACTTTTATAAGTTGTTTAATTTAAAAAAGGTTTGAATTTGAAAATTTTAAATGTCTTAATTCCTGCGGAAAATCCTGTTTCAAAAATAAGATTAAAAACAGGAATTGTGCAAATATTTTTCTTTTTTTCTAAAATAAAATAATAATTTTGTTCAAAAAATTATGATTCATAAACAAAAATAATGCAAAATAAATAAATTTTCTAGTTTTTAATCACAGTTGTTTAACAATTTTCTAATTTTGTTTAGAAGTAGGTAAAGTACAAAAATCTGCATAATTTCAATTTGTCAAAAAATAATATTTAACAAAATTTTAGACTTTTAATGAAAAGAAGTGAAAAAATTCAGATGATTTCTATTTGTCATTAAAATTTTGAAGTAATTATTATAAAATAAAAATAATTATAACAATTCTTATCTAAAACTTTAACTGAAATTAATTTTTAAATCAAATTTTATTAGAAAATTCTACGAGAATTGAATTATTTAAATACAAAAATAGATAATTTATTTAATACTTGAATTTTTTTAAAATTGAATTCTTATACATTTTTATTAACAAATTTTCAAATAATTGAATTCTTTTCGACGAATTTTAATAAAATTTTTAAGAATAATTACATTTTTCGAGGAATTCGATTAAAATTGTATTAAAAATAATTGAAATTCTGCAATGAGTTTGATTATTTATGAAACTAATTGAATTATTGCGAACAATTTTAAAAAAAATTATAAAAAATTGATTTTTTTTGAAAAAATTTATACAAATTCTATTTTTAATAATTGAATATTCGTATTTTCATTATTTTAGAAAATAATTGAATATTCGTGTTTTTAAATTTCGTGTTTTTGAAATTGTTTCTAAATAATCGAATTCTATAGGGAAATTTTATTAAAATAGTAGAATATTAAAAATAATTGAATTAAGGAAAATTTTTGAAAATAATTGAAATTTTGACATGAATTTTATTAAAGTTTTTGAAAATAATTGAATTTTATTACTTTTGAAAATAATTGAATTCTTGTGACGAATACTACTATTTATAAAAATAATTGAATTTTGTCGAAGAATTTTGCTATTCATTTGTTGACAATTTTTTTTATATTTTTTGAAAATAATTGAATTTATGCAAAGAATTTTATTAATTTTGAAAATATTTGAATTCTTGTGATGAATATTGTTATTTATGAAAATGATTGAATTTTGCAATGTATTTTATTAAAATTCCTGAAAATAATTGAATTTCGGCGAAGAATTTTGCATATATTTATAAAGATAACTTAAATGTTGACGAGAATTTTTATTTAATTTTGGAAAATAATTGAATTTCTTGAAAGAATTTTAATATTTATTAAGATATAGTTGAATTTTTTCAAAGAATTGCGTTGAAATTTTCAAAATTGAAATTAAAATTTAAAAAAAAATGCTTCATTAATTGATTTATAAAGTAATAACTTTATGGCAGTTATTTCAAGAATTAAGTTATTTAAAATAAATTATTGTCAGAAATAGAAAAAATTGAAGGTTTTTTTCAGAATTCGTGGTAATTTCATAGTTTATAAGGCAAACAAAAAGACACAAAAATTCAGAATTTTTTTATAAATTCTAAAAATAATTTTTTTCCAGTACATTTAATAAAAAATCCCTGCCTAAAAGTTCTGCAATTTAATTAATTCAACTTTGTAATATAAAAAGTTAATATCTGTGACATTTCACGATTCTAAATATCTAAAATTTATTTTAAAAATAAAATCTTGTATTTAGTTATCATCCAAAGCATATTTCATTTAATATTTTTTTTTTAAACAAATTTTAGATATTTGAAATCGTAAAATACCATAGATTCTAAATTTTTATATTGCAAAGTTAAATTAGTTGAAATGTAGAAGTTTTCAGCCATAAAAATCTTGTTTAAAAGTCTAGTCATCACAATAGATTCGGAAAACTATTATTAGAAAAAGGGGATTATCGAATTGGCTTTTACAATGGTTTGACAGTCATAAAAATTTTCATGATTCTTGTTCTTTTCTCATTCTTTTAAACTGCAAAAGTAAAAAATACTGCCAAAAAAATCAGAAATTATGATTATTTTCCTGCTGTTTTGTCATTTTTTTAGTGGATCCCTAGGAATTATAAAAAATTTTTAGAAAACAGCATATAATTTTCAGGCGTGTAAAGAGGAAAACTATAAAACAAATTTTTATTACTTATTATAACTTATAAATATCAAGTTAGTATTAGTTTCTAATATTTATAACTTTTATATTTTTATATTCTTTTTTTCTCTAATAAAGGGTAAATTTTGTAAACCCGTTTATATGAAATAAATAAATAAACAGTTAATAAATAATACCTTTAAAAATACTGAGTCTTTAGAGTTATAAAATGAAGGTTATAAATTTTGTTTTTACTTGAAATTATTAGCAGAAAAAAAATTAAACATTGATATCTGTTTAATTTAATTAACTCTACAAAAGTTTCAGTTTAACACATTTAAAAGTTAGTTTCTTAAATAATATGACCAAAACCACTTTTACATGAAATTTATTAGTAAAATATAACAAATATAAAAACATGGGTTATTAATTGAAATAAAATAGAATTTTACTAATTCAGGTTTAGATAGTAATCCTCCTTTTTTTCTTCAGTTTGTACTACTTCTTGTTATAAACAAATTGTAAAAACTATAACTATGTAAAGAACGAAGAAACTAAAACATTTGGAAGCAATGTGTCACTGTCAGAAATGTAAACATCATTATGGCGCTTCTACAACTCTACTACAACAAAGCATAATGGAAGGTTCACAATTGTAAATTTAAGGTTAAGGGTGCATTTACACCTCTGTGTAGAAATTAAGGTTCGGTCACACGACTTTTGAAAAAACTATTCTTATCTTTCTCTCTCCTATGACAGAGACTCATGTTCTTACTTTTTCTCAAAACGGAAAATGTAGAGTGAGACAAACTTATATCTCTGTCATAGAAGAATGAAAGACAAAAATTCAAATTTACGGCCGGTTACAGACAAAAATATAATCAGTCCGAGTCAAATAAGAGAACATTTTACTTAAAAATATAACATTTTTTTCATAACTATAAAACATGAAGAAATCGATATTTTTCATTTTTTATAATAATAAATAAAATATTTAAAGATGACCGATTGATAAAATCATTGTTATACTGTAACTTCTTCTAAAATATTTTCATCATGTCAATTCAATTATTATTAATTTTTAGAATTTCTAACTAAAATTCTTCTTTAAATCAATATTATAGGTATTTTTAATAATTTTTTATAAAAGTTCTTTTGAGAGAATTTTGAAAATTCATTTGTTTGTAATTCAATTTTACGAAATTTCGATTATTCAGAAAATCTCCAATTGAATATACATTCGAAAATAAAGACTTGAAATAATTTTAAAAATTTTGATTAAGTTTTCTGAAAAAAATTAGTTTCATAGAATTTTTAATAAAATGTATAAAAAGTTCAGACTTTCAAACATTTTAATTTTAAAACCTTTACAAAATTCAATTATTTCTAAAACTTGCAATTATTAGTACCTAACTTCTCTAAAATTCAATTATTATCTAAAACTTTAACTGAAATTAATATTTCTAAATCAATTTTTATTACAAAATTCTACGAGATTTTAATTATTTTAATAAAAACATAGATAATTTATTGAATAATTGAATATTTTCTAATATTCAATTCTTATATAGCATCAAGCCCCTCAATTTTATCAACAAATTTTTAAATAATTGTATTCTTTCGACGAATTTTAATAAAATTTTTACGAATAATTACATTTTTCGAGGAATTCGATTAAAATTTTATTAGAAATAATTGAAATTGTGCCATAAGTTTTATTATTTATTATTTATGTGTATTTTTTATTATTTATTATTATTTACATATATGAAAATAATTAAATGTTTGCATAGAATTTTATCAAAAATGTTTTTCAATTATGTAATTGAATGCTTGTGGAAAATTTTATTAAAATAGTATATAGATATTAAAAACCACTGAATTCAAGAAAATTTTTCATGAAGCATTTTTTTTATATTATAAAGATAATTCAATTCTTGCCAAAAGAATTTCTGCTAAAAATGTTGTGTTTTAAAAGAATTGAATTTTTGGGAAGGATTTTGTTATTTATGAAAAAATAATTGAACTCTTTCCAAGAACTTTATTTGAAAGTTTTGAAAATAATTGAATTTCTGCGAAGAATTTTATGAAATTTTTTAAAATAATTGAATTCCTGCTAAAAATTTTGTTATTTTTAAAAATAATTGAATCTCTGAGAAGAATTTTGTTACTTATAATGATATTTTAATTCTTGCCGTTAATATTGTATTACATTTTTCAATAATAACTGAATATCTGCTAAGAATTTTTTGAAGTGTTTGAAAATAATTGAATTATGTTAAAAAATTTTTATTTTTAAAAATAATTGAATTTCTGCAAAGAATTTTGATATTTATAATAATAATTGAATTTTTGATAAGAATTGTATTACAATTTTTAAAAATAATTGTATTTTTCCGAAAAAATTTATAAAAAAAACTTTTTAAATAAATTAATTACTACTAAAAATTTTATTCTTTATGAAAATAATTAAATCCTTACTAAGAATTTTGTTATTTACAAAGATAATTTAATTCTTGTCAAGAAATTTATTAAAAATTTTGAAAATAATAAAATTTCTGCAAAGAATTTTATAATAATTTTCGAAAATAATTGAATTCGTTAGAGAACTTTCATTAAAATGCTTGAAAATAATTTTACTCCTGTTAAAAAATTTTGTTATTTTTGAAAATAATTGAATTTCTGCGAAAAATTTTATTAAAATTTTTGAAAATAATTGAATTTCTGCCAAGAATTTTATTAAAATTTTTGAAAATAATTGAATTTCGGAGAAGAATTTTGTTATTTATAATAAAAATAATTGAAATTTTGACAAAAATTTTAAACATAATTGAATTTCTGCGAAGAATTTTATTACTTTTGAAATTGAATTCTTATGAAGAATTTCGTTTTTTATAAAGATAATTGAATTCATGTGAAGAACTTAATTAAAAATTTTGAAAATAATAGAATTTTTGCGAAGAATTTTAGGATAAATTTTGAAAATAATTGAATTCTTTAAAGAACTTTTATTAAAATATTTGAAAATAATTGTATTCCTGCTAAAAATTATGTTATTTTTGAAAATAATTGAATTTCTGTGAAGAATTTTTTTAGTTTTTAAAATAATTGAATTTAAGTAAAGAATTTTGTTATTTATGAAGATAATTACGTTAAAACTTTTGAAATAATTAAATAATATTAAAAAATTCATTCTTGTCAGAAATAGAGAAAAATTGAAATTTTTGTATTAGAGAATTTGTGTGGACTATTGTGGACCCAGCGTATATTGCTAATATGCGCAAAAGAATAAAATTCGTAAAGAGCGCAGTTGTTAAACTCAAACCCAACCCCACTTTCTTAAGACACCCCCACTACTATCTGTATTCACTCTTCTCGAGTTCGACCGAAGCCGCCAACCTGAAATCATCTCACTTTCAGAAGCCATGATTACCATGACGCTATCAATATGTGCTCCGAGTTGAAAAGTTTCTTTTTTGTGTGTGTACCGTTTTCATCAAGAAATTGTGCAAAGGAAACAATAAAGTGATTAAAAAAGTTAAGTATCACTAAAGCAATATGCATTTAAGAAAGTTTATGCATCCCAGAAACAAGTATAAAGAGGAGCCTAATTTTAAAGAATTGGCTCTCTTGTATCCAGAATTTCGGAAGGTTGCTATGACGGTGAGTTTTTCAAATTCTTAATTCTTTTCACACTAAACGTCCAAAACTTTGGAGTTTATTCAATTTTATAAACTGTAAGAGCTTTTGAAAACTTTTTCTGTTATTATTTCTCTCATAACTGAACATTATGAGAGACATGAACTTTTCGTACATTTTGGTTTCGAGGGAAATCAAAAGAAAAAAAGATGTAATTATGAGAAAATTTTCAAAGAATTTCTTGTTTCTTTTCTGCAAAGATGTGGTCGTTTAAAATTATTTATTTTACTAAACTAGATATTGAGTATTTATAATATTTAAAATTTCAAGAACAACCTTTATTTATCAAAAACTAATTTAAATTTTAAAAAATTAATTCATAAGCAGTTTCAAATCCGTAGTTAAAATCTATTTCAAATTTAAGAAAAATATATTTACTAATTTTGAAAATAAAAGAAAATTTTATTTAAAAAAAAATCCGAAACTTTTCCAAGTTATCAAATATTTTGTTTATTTACATAATTGTCACTTTTCAATAACTTGAAAAATGTAGTTTTGTTAAAAAAACAAATTTAACTTTTTTTAAACTTTTAAATTTGAAAGTTTTAGTTAAAATTTAAAACACTGAGTTGAACAAATTTTTTATGCAATTGAAAATATGTTCAATTTTTTTTTCAAATGCAATTCATAACTTAACATTTTTAATCACAAACATCTTAATTTCAAATTCGATCATTTGAAACTTTAAGAAAAATTATGAAATTTTTTTATTTATTAATATTTTAGGAACAATTTACTAAACTCTGATAAACTATTTTTAAATATATGATTTTTATGAAGTTTATATATTTTATGATTGAAAATAATGTTTAGAAGAAAGTTTCAAAAATAAATTTTTTTTTCGAAAAAATGTAATTTCAATAAAAATTTAAAACTTGAATTAAACCATTTCAAACTTTATAAACTATTTTTTTCAAACGAAATTATAATAAAAATTTAATTTTAAATTAAAAAATAGATAAATTTCGTTAATTTAAATTTTTAGAACTTTAGGGATTTTATACGACTTTTTTCGACTTATTTTCAATAATTGCGACTTTCTCGACATTTCTTCTAAAATATTCCAACAAAATACCACATTTTTAATATAAATTGCAAATTATTTTAATTTTTCCATTTTGAAAAATAACCATAGACAAATCTTTCAAAAATTATTTTTGAATAATTTTTCGAATTAAATTTTCAAAATATACAATTAAAGAGATTTGGAATACACTGCAAGCCCGATCAGCGGTCACCCGATCAGGGGTCACTTGTTTACGTCGTTTGTAGATGGGGCGGGCGAGGGGCCATGAGGGAGTCGAAAAGTTGTGGCAGTAGCGTATACATTAAAGACGCTCTGGCCCCTTAAAAAAAAATTCAGTAGTCAAGTAATGGTAACCCATCATAAAACAGTTCGTACGGTCCTATATGTTTACGCCCGATCAGCGGTCGAACACCCCCGGAGCTGACCGCTGATCGGGCTTGCAGTGTAATTGAAATTTTGTAAAATTTAATTCAAAATAATTGATTTTCTTCAAATATTATTATAATTTTTGAAAATCAATTTTTGAAAAAATTTAATTGCAAATTTTGTGAAAATTGAATTTAAAAAAAAATTTAATGGAAAATCTTCAAGTGTTTTATGAAAACGAAAATTAATAAAAACTATCTTCTAAAAAATAATATTAAAATTTTTTTTAAAAAGGTAGATTTTAGAATTTTTTTTATTATAAATTTTTAAAATTCAATTATTTTTAATATTTTCAAAAATTCAAAAATATAATTCCGAAAATTCAAACAAAAAGGTACACGGAGAAAAATAAATAGTAATAATTATACTATTTTCGATGAAAAATTACTACTTTTAAGTAGTAATTTTGAAACTGCTCGAAAAATAGTAACTTTTGCTTCGTATTCAAACGATTTTTACTTTTTTGAAAAAGTATAATTTACTTCAAGGAATCTAAATTTTATTAAAAGCCGAGTAATATTTAAAATGTCCCGAGCAATTAATACTCTGAGCGAAGCAACTTTTATTACGAATCAGAGCAATTATTACTATTTCGGTAAAGATTTTTACTCGTAAAAGTAGTAATCCGTACCCACACAATGACGCGCCTCACACCGACGGGCGAAACGAATGCCGGCGCGCCTGCGCGTCTGTCCACGCCGTGACGAAAAAAAATGCTGATGTAGAGAGCTATATTGTCTCGTTTTATTTTAATAAATTAAAATAAAATAATCAGTGCGTTCAAAAAATATTTTTTCAAGTAATTAACACTGTGCATGTGTATTATTATTCATTATTCATAAGTTTTACTTTTTTTTCACATTCATACTTACAATTAACAACTTAACATATCGGAAAATCTTAACATCTATACAGTTTCGAACCCTACCTAACTTATATCTAACGCAACCTAAAATCGCACGCATTTATACTAAGCCTCTCGGCTACGCAATCGCTATGGAGAAAATTTCGTGTTACCCGCATTTATCTCTTTTCGATAAAGTGAATCATAAATTATATTTATTTAGATAAGTTACTGAATTAAAATATAAACATTTATGATAATAATAATAATAAACAGTATTATTAATTTAAAATTACTTATTTAAATTATTAGATTATAATGTTAATGATTTTATTTCTTTATATATTTTTTATTAATTAATTAGTAATTCATTAAAAATTAATTAACTAATTATTAAGTGATTATACATGAATTGCATACTTTGGAAATTAATAAATAATTAAAATGCATATAGGAATTAAAAATTAAATAAGTTAACTAAACATTTTTCTTTGTTTATAAGTTTATTAAAAATATTGTTGTTGTATAACAAAAAGTACACTTAATGAGTATTATATTGCACATTTGCGACATAATCAATATAAGATATATACAAACTATAAAATACAAAATAGAAAATGTTAAATTAAAACCATTTTTTGGCAATGTACTCTTGACTATTTCCAAGGCGTGTCATGTACGTGATTTTTGCTTGAGATACATTTTCCCATTTAAATAAACTGAATTTGGAGTCACATCTAGTAACTTTGTACGCCTGAAAGTGGTCATGAAAATAACATTCAATGGTGCTAACAATCACATTTAAATCATCGACTTTATTTGTGATTAAGTGATGAATATAGTAAAACTCTGGTTCATCTTCGTTAAAAAAAAAAACTTTGACGTCAGGTTACGGTCGCTGCGCATGACAGTAGTGACGTGATCACACACATAGGTGTGTAACAGTAGTGGTACGGATTACTACTTTTACGAGTAAAAAGTTTGTTCTGCAATAGTAAAAGTTGCTTCTTGCAGAAGCAATCTTTATTTTCCGCAGTATTAATTATTAGAATTTCTACAAGTAATATTTACAACATATCGAATGTAAAAAGTAATACAAAATTTAATAAAATTTACAATGACGATGTAAAAATTAAAATTCTTAAAGCAATTTTTAAACGTGACTACTGTAATAATTACTATTAGTAATTTTTACTACCAGAAATAGTAATTTTTACTTCATGCGAAGTACATTTTACTATGAATAGTAATTTTTAATATAAAAGTAGAATTATTACTATTCCATAGGAACTTTTACTTGAAACTCAGCACCATTTTTCTCCGTGTACAAAAAATACCAACATTAAAATTTTTCAGAATTATTTTTAACATTTTGGAGAAAACAATTATTGTGAAAATTTTTAATTAAAATTCTTTAAAAAATTAGTTTTTTTAAATAAACAAAAATTCTTTTAAGAAATTCAATTATTTTCGAAAAATTACATTAGAATATTTTTAAAAAACTAATTCTTTGAATTGTTTTATCATAATTTTTTAAGATTTGCTTATCTTCGAACAAAGTAAATTAAATTTTTTAAAATTTTACTTCTTTAGCTATTAAAAATTGTTATTTTTAAAGTGAACTTTACTATTTTTAAAGTAAATTTTTCTAATTTTTTTTATAGAAAATTATCTTTAAAAATAGTAAAAGTTACTCTATGGAAATAACGATTTTTAATATTAAATTTTAATATTTTTGACGAAAATTATACCAAGTTCAAAGTAAATTTTACTAATTTTTTTCTGCAATTTACATTAGATGTAGTTTTTTTGGAATTTTATTACAAAAATTGAGTTTTAATAAACAATTTTATTAAAAAGAAAAAAAATTACAGACTATGGAAAAATATTGAAAAATATCAGTAATTAACAAAAGAAAATGATTTCAGGCCTCAATTATGACTTTTTCTACTTTTTTCATCTAAATCTTTCTAAAATTAGTTATGAATAATTTTTCTAATTAAATTTTTGAAATATAGAATTAAAAATAGTTTGGATAATTGAACTTTTGTAAAATTTAATTGCAAATAATTGCTTTTTTTCATGTATTTTATTAAAATTTTTGAAAATCAACTTTTGAAGAATTTTAATTGCAATGAAAATCATTATTGAATTCTCAAAAATTTTAATGAAAATTCTTTAAGTGTAAATTTAAAAATAAAAATTAATAATGAAAAAAAAATTTTTTAATGCTTTTAAAAATGATATTGAAATATTATTGAAAAAAGTAATTCTTAGAATTTTTCAGTCTAACTTATTAAACATTTTTGATTTCTGTTTTCAAAAGGTTTTTTTCCTTTTTTTAAAAAAAAACATTTTTTTGGTCTGAAAATAAAGCTTTGGATGTATATTTTGAACAAAGGGAATGAAAAAAAGACGTTTTTTTCTCTAAATTTAAATTATTTAAAAATAATTAAATTAATGGTCAAATGTTAATCGTTGATTCAATTATTAAAATTTAATAATCAAATAACTAAAACTTTTGCTCACTAATTTAATTAGTGAAATTTGACTATTTTCGTAGTTATTTATTTACTAATTATTAGTTATTTTTTAATGATTGATGAAGCAAAAAGTCAGCCTAAATTTTACTAACAGTTATTTTTAACTAATTTAGATTACTTTATT